TATATATATAATAGAGAGATTAATAGGCAGGCAGACAGACAGATAGATAGTTTTTTAATGATTTTTTTTATTTTCCTGTGTGTCAATTAGAAAAATAAAATGTGGTTTAAGAAGTACAAACTTAAATATTTTAATTGTCAAGTGTTTGTTTGTGTCGTTTATTAAATATGTTTCATTTCTACATGATAATGCAATTCATAAAAACAAAGAAACCTTAAAATCTAGGACTCCTATTCGAGATCAATTGCCATTTTTTCATAACTTAGACACTCAGATTGAAATTATCATAGCAGTTATCTCCCAAAGATGTCTGAATACTTGTCAATAGGGAGCCATTGACAAGTACTCTAGGTCCAAATTGTGTAGTGTACAGCTAAGTTCAAAGTGTGGAGGCGGAAGTTTTAAAACGTTCTGCTAAAAAAATAACCTTTGGAAGACCTAAGATAGCAAACTGAGAACTAAGCTGCTCTGATTCAACGCTCTCCTGATGAGCCAGCTCTGGACAATCTGAGGCGTTTCTGCCTAAACAGGAAATGGGCGGAAACCGTCTCTCAAAGGGCAGGAAGGCATTTTCTTCAAAGCTAATTGAGAAAAAGAAAATGCAACCTAAGATAAACTCTTTAAAAAAAACTTTTAGAGCTTTTTAACAATTGTTTTCATTAGAGCTTGTAAGAGGAATATAAATGATCTGGAGAATGAAAATAACCTAGAGGCATATTTTCCCCAGAGAGACTACACATAAGCTCTACAATAATAAAGAAACACTTCCACTTATTGCGCTCTCTAAGTGGCGTCAACGTTTTTATTCTCGGAGTTTCTAGTTTCCATCTCAACACTCCTACTGACTACAAATAAAACACCAAAGTCCACCCCCGTTTCAGGTTTGTATCCCCGTCACTCCCTCATTCAACTGCTCCATCTTCATCTGGGCTGCCTTCACCTAGTAAAGTCTTCTATTTGTAATCCATCTTTACACCTCCCACCTTGTCCCTCTTTGGTTCCATCAGTTACATCAGTGTTGCCACTAGGAGAAAAACCAGGCCATCTGACACACGGATAGAATCAAGGCTGAGAGGAGCTGCCATCACTTGCTCTGCCCTTCAACTCGTGGAAGAAGGGAGGAGGAGGGAGGGGAGGAGACAAGTTAAACATGAGAGGGATGAGGAGAGATTTGATCGCTTGCCCGGGTCACTCGTTCCCACATGGGCCTGACCATGTAGGCAGATGGCAGGCTGTTTTCTGCGAGTGTGTGTGTGATGGTGTGTGTGTTCACTGAACCGTCTCAGTGGAGAGGGACTGGTTTACAACAACGACAGCTGTAACTGACAACACCATCACTTTTCATCAACTCGGTTTCTGCAAATCAGACACACTGGCAGCCGAGACGACATCACCACTCAAGATGGAAAAAAACAAAACCCCACAAACAAATACTTAATTTTTCACACCAGATAAAAGAGAATATATAGTCAGAGTTTATATGCAAAAACCGAGGAACACACCTATGCCCTCACTTTATATGAATATATATACCAACTTGCCGATACAGTTTAAAGTGTTGTACCCTTACCGTAAATCTTCTGGATTCCCATCAGGTCATCCATAGGGAGCTTGAAGTTGTCTGTGTCCATGTACTGGTAGAACGGAGCCATGATGGCGGTGGGATCGTTGGAGTGCTCGAGGCCCAGAGCGTGGCCAAGCTCGTGGACGGCTACCAGGAACAAATCGTTACCTGGGAACAGAAACCAGAGGAGGGATTGATTATGAAGTAGTTTTGCTGCCACTGGAAGTAAACTGGTGTGTAGAATTTCATAAGCAAAAGATGGTGGATAAAAATCTTGGCCACACTTAGGAGTTTTTTTCTCGGTTACCATCAGCTGGTCATGCTGCACCTGTTCTGGTCGGCACTGCCAAAGTAGCTGGTGCAAATTGAGCAAAACTGTTCAATTGCTGTACTGGCCAAAAAAAAACCCAACAAAACAACAGGAAGAGTTTGTGGTAAAAAAATCAGTTGTTGTGGAGAATTGTGTGGGTATGGCGAGTGGGGTTGGAAGACGCGCCAGCAGCACTTTATATGTCTGCTGTATGGGACCACTTTGCATTTAGAGTGACCTATGATGACGGCGGAAAGAAAGTTGTGGATAAAAGTGCAACAGTGTGCAAGCATTTTGTAACACATTTTGTTTATGCTAACAGCAACACGACCAACATGTCAGCCTGAACTGACTTGACCACAAAACCTAGCCTCGTGAGACCATCCTGATCTCGCGAGCTTTTAAGATTTCACTCGCTAATCAGTCTGGAGACTCTCCGTTGAAGAAAATTTGGAGCCGTTCACCAAACGAATGTCCAATCAGCGTTGGCTTTGAGGCGGGTTGAGGTGTGACGCAACGAGAAGCGCGACATTTCAGTCTAAAGAACATGGCGGCTTCAGCCGATGAAACTAGCGTTAGCGTGGCTATTGAGCAAGCTTTAGCGGAATTACAGAGTATTTCTTCAATGAAAGAAGAGCAAAACACTGCTCTGGAGGTTTTTCTCAGAGGAAAAGATGTTTTGCTCTTCTCCCGACTTGTTTTGGCAAGAGTAGCTTGGCTTGTGGTTGTGTTTTCGTCGTCGGTCTGTTAGTAGGTCATATGCTTCGTTGATCTGATTGGTTTATTTGGCCCGCCTATCACCAACATCGGCCAATCAGCTAACCAGTATTTTCGCCCATTCCCAAAATTACTGCAACAGAAGGTTTCCAGATGGATATGCGGAGCAAATCCATCTGGCGGAGTCAGGTTACACAAAACCGTGAACCGAATCGAACCGTGGATTTTGTGAACCGTTCCACCCCTAATATATACACAGTAGAAATTATTCAAAGTGGCCCTTCCTAGTCAAACGCCAGCCGAATGGCAGCCCAATCCCCTGCAACTCCCAGTAAAATCCCCTGCATGAACCTAACATATGTTTTTACTCTGACCCCACCCAAATTTCACTGGATTGTGATGCTTCTCTTCAGATCGTAATGTCCATCCACAAATCACGGCAGAAAGAATATTTTATTACAAAGATTGATGTTTAAAAATACACACAAACATATACACACATATATATATATATATATCTTAAGCTGGCAAATGAGGTAAGTGTAGGGATGTGTAAGTGTAGCCGTTGAACATTTAAATTTTGCCCCACCACTGCCCTCCCAACTCCCATCTCTCCCGTGTTTTTCCCTCTCTCTATCCTATCACACGCGACAGGAATGGAAAAGAGCATCACTTATTCATGGCAATTCCTGGTAAAAGGAGGCACTTATCGGCTGCAGATCTGTCACATGAATAACACATCAGCGGACGGACCCTCCCATTCAGATCACTTCGTAGCAGGTAGAGAATTTACGGACCCAGCCAGCTCACAGAAATGGCTTTCATTGTGATGCTCTGAGTGATTCTTGACTCTATAAATGTCGGCGAGTTTTTACGTGTTTGATAGGAAGTCCTCTGCAACCAAAAAGTCCTCAATGGACAAGAAAAGCTACACAAGCCTTTAATATCGAACAAGCATGAAGATGTTGCTCATATCAAACAAAGAGAGGCAGAGATCTTTAAAATGTGTAATAGCTGGGAAATATTCAGTGAAGTTTAAAATATCAAGACATCTGGCTTTTCAGAGAGAGGCTGTTATTCACCATTTTTAATCAAGAGTGACCACAATGCAGAACATTTCTTTCTGACACATTAGCCTCAGAACACTGATAGAAAGATAAAACCAACCCAGGAGGGAAATAAGTTCCATGTTTAAAAGGAAATTTTGAAAAAAATGACAACAATTTAGTGTAAATGTTTCTTATCCGATGGTTTCTTATCCCAGAAAAAAAAAAAAAAAAAAAACTCCTTTGTCTTCCAATCTGACAGGTTTGCAAAGAGTTCCACTTATAATTTATTTAAGGTTAGAGACCAGATGTATAGGCTATAGGATGTAAAATTATTTTTACTATAGAATCACACCTAGGTGTGGGTCAGTGTCAGGCATCAGTAAAGTACAGCCATGCTTTCTAAAGGGTAACAAAATCTACTTTATATTATCGATGTGGTAGCAAAAACATAAAGAAGTTGTAGGAGGGTTGGGAACCTCCTCTCAGCTGTTGCTTAAATATTTTATCTAGCTAAAAACTGTGATTTTTTTTTTAGGTTTACTATCAAAGCACCACCCTCTTTTGTACAGTGGGGCTTAATGTTCTGATCCACCGCTGTGGTGAGAGAATAAGGAAACCATGAGACAAACACGACCTCTGTCTCTTTTTGGCTTCAGAACTGGACACATTTTGTCATCATTTTTATCCAATTAATCATCCATTACTTTGCTCCTGTTGACCAATGTAAGGGTTTATCTAACATTACATTCATATAAAATAAAGCGACTAATCAAAGTTTCTCTAGATTAGAGGGACCAGAGCGATAAAATGCCTCCACCTTACTGCTCACTGCCAGCCAGGAGGTTGAAAACCACTACAAAATCAATCGAGCTTTTTACAGAGCACACTTAGCTGATATATAGGTCGACAAAGGAAGAGATTAAAGCATAAGATAGATTTAGAGCAGCTAAAACATTGAAAGTCAAGAAAATAAAATCTATTATTGAACCAGCCTTATGCTATCAATTAACTGCAACTAAAACCAATTTAAAAGATACGTCTTTAAAGGTCCTATATCACACTCTTCAGTCTTACAAAGTTAACTATTGGCATATATAAAATAAAATACAGTACCACCTTTTGTAAAATTTAGTATTTACCATATTTTCTGGACTATAAAGCCCACCTCATTGCAATGCAATGCCCAGTAGTTTTTTTGAAAAACGTACATATATACTGAAAGCCAGTATATATGCACAATTCTCTAAGCCTCCCACCAAACCTGTAGGGGGAGCTCTACATATCAGCCCTAGAGAACAGATGAAGAAGAATGCCAGCTCCTGTTAGCTTGTTGTCTCGCAGCCGTAAGAGCTTTTAACTGTAAGATAAAGCTTTATTTCAGCTCAGCAGGAGTTGAGCCCAGTCTCTTCATTGATTCAGCAGCTTTAATGCGACAAATGTCAAAATCTGTGAATTGGGGACATTTGTTCTCAGTCCTGCCCACTGCTAGCATGTTCATTTTCTACATGAAAGTTAGCCCCGTAATCTTTCATTTCCAACTTTGACTCCCCCCCGGCGGTTAGGGAAAATTTGACAGAACAGCCGCGCCTTCTTATAAGCCGCATGGTTCAAAGCATGGGAAAAAAGTAGAGACTTAAAATCCAGAAAATACAGTATTTGTTATATTTTTATTTTAATGGTGCTATTCATCAAACCCAGAAGAAAAAAGCGTGCCTGTGACGCAGCCTCTCCCCTTGCGGGTGCGGGCCATTTCATGACCCTAATTCATTAACCTAATTGTCTCAAGATTTGTTAATTCACAAAACCCCTAAATACAACTTGCCAGAAGCCAATAGATGAATTAACCTCGATAAAGAAATGTTTTGAACCATTGAAATGCAGTGACGTGTATTTCATCAACCAGAAACAGCAGGCTGATGTGAAGCTAACTCCACTATTCAGTCTGCTTTAGCTATAATATCCTCAATTTCTTTAAAAAGAGGGTCTTTCCAAACCCTTTGTGGATTGAAATTTTTTTGCAGGTTCCACCGGACTGGATTTGGGACTTTGATTCATCAATTAACTCTGGTAGTCATGAGAGAAATCAAGGATTTGTTGTTGATAGTTGCTACTGCTGCTGTTATGGGCTAAATCTCAACATGGTAGGCGGATGCTACTTGGTGATTTACCCAATAAGCTTGAAGAAGTGTACCGAATGTCCCTCCCTTTTGCGAACAGATACCACAGGAGAATTTCCAGACGGCTACTATATAGAATTCAAATTGAACGACACGTATGAATCTGGCTAATGCCCGGTTAGTGGCTGCTGCTCAGAGAGAGCGGGCACGATCATGATCAAGGAATATAATCGTCAAAAAGTTGATAATTTATGATATTTGCCAGTATTAACATTATTATAATTTTTTGTGATTTTTTCTTGTGTAAATATTGAGTGAAAGTAACTCTAAATAAGGTTGGAATCAGAACCCTTATATGGCCTGTTGCAAAGAAAAACAGCTTTGGATGGAAATGGCCAATAAAAGCCATGGATAATATCTTTTTTTATGTATTACTTTCCATTTTTAAAAGTAACCCCAGTGCACATAAACAACAGCACTGTAAAGCCTGATTCTTCACGTGCTTGGGTCACATCAGTGGCTTCCAAAAAAGATTGATGGGCTGCCTCTATCGTTTTCCATCGGGGTCTCGAGTCAGCTTCAGTGTCTCATGGGTCAGCTCTGAGGTCAGCTTTGTCTCTTCGTTTCAGTCACTTATGCAGCTTAAAGTGTAGACAGGATGTCACGTCACCCCCCCGGGGACAAAACTACAACTAATTATTGACTGATAGGTTTACAGCATAGACATGAAGAGCACAGAAGGGTGAGTAGTGGAGGAGGGGAAGGGAGGGAGATGAAAGGCACAGAGTGAGGGGATTGTATATAAGAGAGATGAAGAAAAGTTTATGGAAAAAGAAGCCGATGAGTGGGAGAGAAAGATTCTGGAAAAGAGACTAAGAGACAACGGTTAGGGTAACGGAGGAAAAATGGCACTAGGTGTGATATTACAGTAAAGAATAGAGGGTTAGAATGAGTAGAATGAGGTTCCTGTGTTGG